GACCACAACATGCAGCTGTTTTCAGTGAAAAAGCATCAAATGGCAGACAGTGACAGTCAGAGTCTAGATGGTAAGCAAAGTGGCGCTTTAAGCACCTAAAGAGCAAGATATTTCTCTCAGGAGATGGTAGAGACCAAAACAGAGCTAAATGAGAGTGAATATTGGACACAAACAGGACTCTAAATGAATGATAATGTTGCTCCATAACTGCAGGATGTGTAAATAAGCACTGTTTGCTCACAAGTTTGCCATATCAACTTAAAGGTTGATGTCAATGTTGGGTTCATCATTTTTCTCTGGTTCTTGCAGCTTTAACACAAAATACAGTTGAGGCTGATGTGAACAAAGGTTTTTTAAGGTCCAAATTGGACAAAGAAATTTTTTTCATTTCATTTTTTTCAATTCATTTTGACCTATTTTACTACAATTCCTCCTGAGGGGAACAGACATGTCTGTAGCTAATTTCATGGCAATGCATCCAATAGTTGTTGAGACATTTCTCTAAAACCACAAATGTTTCATGGTGGAGCTAGAGAAATCACCAAAGTTATTACAATGCTTGGTGGGAGCCATGACTGTCTGTACCACATTTTGTGGCAGTCCAACTAAAGGTTTTGTAGATATATCAGTGTGTGATAAAACAGTGGACCAACCTACCGGCAGTGCCATCCCCTAGAGCCTTGCTGCTAGAATGTGGTTTGGGTAGTGAGAGCATGAACTGCATTGTCATGTAATATTGCAACAACATTATTTTAATGACATAATATCACCACACCAAGGGGATATCATTATTCATCCACCAGTCCCTGAACCTTGCCACCTTTTGTCCTGTTAATGTCCTCTACTGTAATGTAACTATTCAGTTGCCAGTAAAAAACAGAAGTAATCATGAAGAAAACTCAAACAAGCAAAGACAGTCAACAACCAAAATTACTCACCACTTTCACCAAATTAATAGTTTGCGAACAGTTTGTGAAGATTGTCTATTTGTTTACCTAAATTAAACATATCCTCAAAGCTTCAAGGGTCATGGAAGATTCAGCCGGTTTCCTTTCTCCAGATACCTCTGATATGAAGTCACCTCTTTTCTCTTCTTGGGTTAGATAGAAAACATTCACGTGAGGTTACCCACTGGTTGTTGTTAAGAAACTATGTCAGTATATAGATATTTAAACTTCCACCTCAAGGAGGGCTGGGCACACAGCCAGTTGCTTAGCTAATGGGATGGTTTTTATTACAGGACTGAAAGGAAGCAAGAGCATGTAACATCAAAAAACCCACAAGGAAGCATGCACAGAAACTACATGCTGTTTTTTCAGTAACTTCCATAGTATATGGTGTTTTAGGGTTGTTGTTAGGGAACTTGGCTGTAACAATGACGAACATGTCCTTGGGGACTAGCATTCAATACAAGACACACCATATTTCATGCAGCTGTGGACACACAGCTGTTTTTCTGGTTCTGCTGGGAGTCGCTCTGCTTGGCTGCCATACTTTGCTTTCATTCAGTTTCATTTTTTTGCTTGTTCTGGCGGTGCCATCTTATACCCAGAGCTTGATGTCATAATAAAAACCTTTGAGTTTCGGCTTCAGTGTGTCCTTGCAAACTCGGACTGCATTCAAATGCTAGAGAGTTGACTGTCACCAATGAATCATAACAACCTGTTACGCTGTTACCTGTTTCTGTTACACGTACACAAAACAGGATTTTGGTGGTGTTAATGATGATTTAATATCTTTTCTACAGGATAACCTCAAGTAATATCTTGGTGTAATTAGTTCTCACTGGAGCTAGTTTTGTACTGAGAAAGTAGTCCCTGTAATGTGCAGGAGCGAAGTTGTCATGGAAATGGTTTCAAAGAATCTAATTAGACAAAACACAAATCCATGAAAGATTTGTACAAAAGAAGAAATGAATCCTTCACTCAATTGCATCAGCAGTTTTCATCTGATTTCTCCTATGTTCTACGTCTAACAGTTACAAAATCCACTCACCAGCACCTCTAAAGCTCACTAACATTATCTTGTTTGTTTAATTCATACAAAAACGACAGACCCCGGTACTGTAAAAACATTCAGAGGCCATTTAATGGAGTATTCAGACCGAATGGGATGTTGTTTCTGGAAAGAACATGTGTTGTTGTTGAATTTTTAATTTTCAATATTTATTTCTGTCTTCATTTCTCTTTTTTTTTGAGTCAACCAACCCTTCAAGGCTACTATGGCTTCCTGCCTCCGGGTCGGGACTAAGATAAATCTAAGGGGTTGCCTTATGATGGATGAAAAGAGGATTAAAAAAACCATTTATGTTCCACAAAATGTATTATTTTTCAAATTCTTTCCTGCTTTTTACTACTGGATTATTTTATGTCCTCGAGACTAAAAATCCCTCAAATGAAACAATGTGAGAAATAAAAATCACTGCTTCGAGGCATCCTTGCATGCATACATACACACACTATTCCAAAAATGCATCCCTGGATAAAATATAGAATGACATAGAGCCCAGAGACTATAAGAGAGAAAGAAGTCTTGCATGTAGGCACCAAATAAGTAGACAAGCTTAGGGAGAAAATCTCACTTAACTGATGGGCGCAAAGAGAAAGTTTTTGCAGTTTTTTTTGCATTGACTTTTACTGTCCTCATTGTTTCTTTCTTCCTGCTTTCAGAAGGATATTTGGATCCTCTCTCCTGAGCACACGGAATGAACTTTGTTTCTGAGGGTCTGGATTTCCCTCCTCAGTTCAGCCAGCATGTGAGGAGCAGGGGAGAGTAGTGAAAATACCATGAGCCAGTTTTATGAATAGTGCCATTTAAAAGGAATTGGTTTCGGTAAAGGGCTAATGATGCCATAGCGCTGGCGTCACAGAGAGAGTGGGGAAGAGGGAGCATTCTTTCCAGGCGCTGGAGCAGCACTTTCAGACTGGTAGACTGGAGTGAGGTGGTGTGGCGACTTTCCATTTCATATACGTCACTCCTAATGCCCAGTTGCTCTCCATGGCTCTGTCCAGTCACAACAGTAAAATTAAAGCCCAGATAAAGCTGGTGATTTTGCACATCTGTCAACACGATCTGAGACGACTGTGGGAGCCATTTTCTCCTCTGATTATTATGTTTTTTTAATGTGTCCTCAAAATCTTTCCACAGGCTAGTGATGGGCTCCATCATCAGCCCTGAAACTATCAAGCCCAGCTGAGTCCTTCCGGCCATTGCAGAGGTAGAACAATAGAAAGTTAGAGGCCGGAAAGGTTAAACAGATGATGCATAGTTTTCTGAGCTGTGGACTGCTGCCACAATTGTTCCAGAGGTAATTTGTTTCTGCATGTTTGTGGTGTTTGTTTATGTGTGTGGGCCCACTCTCAGAATGTTGGCCAACTCAATAATGGCACACATACATACAAACAAACACACAGTGACTGGCACAGAAGAGTAGATGGATTTTAATTAGGTAACTTAAAAGAACTTAAAGGGGTGCACCAGCAATTAAGTTTTCACCTCAGCAGTTGAGAAACTTGCAAGAGACACATTAAAGACTGAATTGTCAACTTTGAAGCAGCAGAGGGTGAGATACTGACTTTAAGAGTGAGTCAAGAGCTCCAAAACACTGGCTCCTACACTTCCCATAATGCAACTCAACATCTTTTGTTAGACCCTCCCCACCTAATAAAGGCCTTTGTGTTGAAAACCCACTCGCAGTTTGTAACGGAAGTTTCTATTATAAATGTGTTGTCTTCAAGCCCAATCTTAAAAAAATAATCCTGATGATGTCTCGAAATTGGTGGAGAGCCCTTTAAAAAAACAATGTATCTAAGATAACAGAAATTTTAAAGGAATTGTCACAACCACTGATGTGACTGTTTATTTGTACCAGAGTTATCAGTATTTGGATTGCAAAGCTAGTTGAAGGGAAGTAAATGTCAGAGCAGCAAGCCTGCATCCTGCATCCCAGAGCAGAGACCTCAGAGCGATGTGGGTTACACTGCCGAAAGGCCGCTCTTAAGAAGCCACTTCTGGCTCGGGCCAGAGGGGAATAGAGGGTAGACATTGTGTCACTTTCCCCAGCTAGCGACTTCCTTCTATTGAAGAGAAAAGAGAGCAAATATTTTGGCTTCCACAATCAGTTGTTATACCCAGTGAAAAGTGATAGGCCCCGTGTAAGCTGTAAGATAACATTCGGAAAATGACTTGCTGCTACTGATCATCCAGAGAAATCTGGAGCCAGGTCAGTGAGAGTGGAAAACTGGGGTATGAAAGAGGCTGTCGTTATTTTACCAAGTTCGCATCACATCGAGAGATGACCTATAAATGGGTATGATTATATCTCCAGTGGTGATTCAGTGGAACAGATAAGATGTACAGCCTTGGATTTCCGGAACAACTGCTGTGATGAACCTTATATGTGACAGATATCTGCACGTTGTGTTTAGGAGGAATACACTGGGTTTATGCTGCCATCTAGTGGTCAGAGGTTACACTGCATCCAACAGACAGCCTTTGTCATGACCTCCAGTGTCTGAATAAGGACAAAGGCTTCCCATTTTCTCCCTTTAGTGACTAAACATTATGTACAGTTTTCACACAGTCTTAGGTCTGTCACATCCGTTTGCAGTGAATGGTTGGAGTGACAAAACAGATAAACACTAAGTTCCCGCTTTCAGTAGGACAAATTATAAAACCATATAAAGTAATTTTTCTTCTTTATTTCAAAATCATACATAATATGAAACATAATTGCTTTGGAGCTAATTTCAACCCAAACTGCTTTTCAGTTAAAATATGTTATATTGAAAGCTTCCTCTGTTATAGTATTGAGAACAGTAAAAATCATCATGGGATATTTTGTGAATAAATGATTGATATCATGTCCCTATCCAGCCAAATGAAGGTCATGGAAAAAGGCCAATGGCAGCCTCAGATCTGTAGTTTTTAACTCTTGTGATCATGTGAAATAAAGATTTATGACCTACTAAAATCAACACAACACACATAAAACTTGATCCTTTTTAAAATGAGTGTTTTATTGTTTTTATTTTTGTATAAAAAACCTTTTTGTCCACTTTAGGCAACAGTTAGCATGAGAGTAGCTCTCACAGCTTTTAGATGAAGTCTAAACTTGTTGGTCTTTTCAACAATCACACACCCCTTTCGCACAGAGAAGCACACAATCACATAGTGTAGTGGAGTTGATTTGATGCAGTGATCCCAAACCTAAGTCTATTAGTAGAAAGCCAAGGACAAAAGCTCAACAATAGGCAGCTTGTAATCATCATCACTTCAAAGATGGCACTATGTCAAGGCAAGTCACGCGAACACAAAGGGCCACGATAAATCTACAGCCTCACAATAACTACAGGAGACTGCTTTGTTAAAATCTGATGGATGAAAGCATCGTTTAATTAGGTTTGAAACCACTGCTTTGGTGCAACTCGTAAGTAGATTTATATTAAGACAATAAAAAAAGGCAAAGAAATACATCAGACGTCTCATACACAGCAGCACATCCTGTGTTACCGAAAGCAACAGCTGTAATTTTAGGCAACAAAACAAAGGACTGATTTTGTGTAAGAAGAGTCGGCACACTTACGCAGATCAGTATTAATCAGACACAGCTTAAAAAAGACATTTAAAGACCAGAAGTGTTATACGATTGCATTTACATACTCAATGACAAAACACCTCGTTCCAGAACCGCCACATTAATGATTTGCAGTGCAGTAGCTATTGCGTTCCTACAAGAGGCTCTCCAACCCTTTTACTTCTTACATCAGTCATCAAGAAACATCTCCATGAAATCATATTTCTCATGATGGTAGGGAGAGAAATCAGTGAATTGTAAATCTGTAACATCAGCACCTTTCAGGAATAAAATATGTATCCTCACTAATACACTCCCACCCTCCCCCCTTTTTCATAATACAGTACATACACATGTGCATGCATACACAGATGCATACTACGTTCTCTCTCACATAGACACACAGATGTAAAGTATTCATACACACACACATACTGTACAGATTGAACATAAAATATACAAATTCAGGTTGTTGTCAATCTGTTTCATAAATTAGTAACATCACATCATTTTGTATAACTACTTTCAACAGCACAGGCTGTTATTTTCTTTAACTCTTTAAATGCTATCTTCTTAATATGAAATTTGACACGAGCCAGAATCATCTCTTCCTTACAGTATAACTCATTAAAAGAGGAGACGACATGGGTCTGTTCTGGCATTTCATAGTGACATGACTGACTACATGGCATTACAGTGTAGCAGTATGAAAGAAATAACATGTCCTTTCACTCAAAAAAAAGAAAAAAAAAGAAGAAAAAAAAAGACTGTGATGACTTCAAATCAACAGTATCTAATCCACAAAAGACACATTACTCAAAGAAATAATAATATCATAGGCATTGTAACTACAGGTAAACTAGGTTTTTGTTGACAAATCGACTGCATTTGCACGAGCAGCTCAAGGTGAGCAAGAGCAACAACTAAGGCCAGTGCTAGTCTGCTGCTCAGTGTTGGTTTACCTTCATAACAGCAGAGCCACAACACTCGCTGCCCTCAGTTCACAATGTGCATACAGATCAAGAAAGCAGCAACCTCGGCTCTGTCTTGCACTTTTGCAAATGCATATACAGTACACAAAAACAAGTATTTCCAGGATTATTAGGTCTATTTTCAGCGGAGGATGCTATCAGAGGCCTTCATTTGGCTTGACTACAGCACAAGTTTGCTGTAATGGAAAGTGAGCCAGCAAGTATCTAAATACACCAGCTTCTTGCACACTGCAAAACAATTTGTGTTTAGTGTTAATACCTTAATACATTACCAAACAAAAGGCTTATGTCAGCATTCACACATTGTTTTTTTTTTTCTGTTTGCTGCGTTGGAAATTAACAAAGCACTACTTGCTGTACTTTCTCATCGACAAATGACTCCTACACACAAGTGTTTTTATGTTTTTCCATTAAGGCCGCATTCATTACCCCTAACAGAATTACGTACAATGTTGCCTTGTAACTGCATCCATATTACATTTGGGGAGTGATCTGTATGTGCTTTCAGCACCCCCCTCCCCCATCCTCATGTATTGTAATACCCAAGCTCATTCTCCACCTAAATCAATGACAGTCACTACAATAGATTGCAACCTGTAATCATTCTTGATGATAGCAGTAATAAAGGTGAAATGTGTAATTTTTCATCTTAGATGAAGCTATTGTGCAAAATATCTGCAGAGAAGCTAGAATTAAACTTCAGGAGGCAGTGGATCTACTTCTCCCTCCAAGCAGGACCCACGTTGGCACCGCTCTTCAGGGAAGCTCAGCTGGGGACTCGAGGGCCTCTCCTCCTCATATTCCTCTGAGCACAGAATCACATTGGTCAAGGACTTGCCCAAACTCTGCCTGCAGGTGGTCTCTTCAGGCTTATCATTCTTCGACTCCTCTCCTCCTTCTTGTTTCCTCTCCACACACTCGTCTCCTCCTGAATCTTGTTCTCTCACCAGGCGCTCCTCCTGTTCAGCCTCCTCCGCTCTGGGCAGGGTTTCAAAGGCTCCAGGCTCTATGGGACTGAGCTGATAGTAGAGCAGAGAGGTGGAGTCTTTGAGGAGGTCAGAAGGGCTCTCCTCCTGGTTGTCAGTGATGCACAGCACCGTGGCCCCTGTGGGGAACGGCCCCTGCAAAAGGACCTGCTCCACTCCTGGCACTTCTGCCTGCTCGGGCAGCTCCCCTCCCAAGGCACCAGGCATGAGGCAGAGAGGCTGCTCTGTGAGACCTCCTGCACCCAGCTCCTGCTGCACTGCCTCCCCTTCTGCCTCCTCCCTCTCCCTCCTCTCCTGCTCCTCCGCGCTCTGCAGGTGCAACACAGCTGTCTCGTTCTCTCGCTCCAGAATGTCCTGCTCTGCCAGGAGATCCTGAACCTCCACCACTGTCTGCACCTCGTTCTCCTCGAGCTCAGAGTCCAGGCCAGCGACTGAAGACAAGTCCGGAGAAGTGGGGCAAGTGGAGGAGGGGGAGGACAATGGGTCAGATTCACCATACTGGTCCCCAGGCCCCTGTATCAGCATCCTCCTCTTCTCCAGGTCCAGCTTCATGATGGTGTGCAGGTAGTGAGTTCTGACACGCAGAGGGTTGAACTCGATGCGGCCTGCTACATTGCCGCAGCCATCCCTGGAGCAGCCACATGGGAAGGACATTCGATCCACCTGGGAACGAGCAGAGGTAATTCAAACAGGAAAGGGTAGACTAAACACTTTGAATTTACTGACTCATTTACATAATTATTATTTAGGTTACGTAAGAGTTTGTTTGTTGTGCAAAGAACAAAGACAGATGACACACATGCTGAGATAAGTATATCAAGGAAAAAATATCATGGCAACCAAGAGAATATCTGGTTACTGTGTAATTATTCAGACTGAGATATAGTTGTACTTGTACAAAATGTAACCAGAAAAGAGAAAGGTCATTCACGAAGTTAAACACACTATTTCTAACATTCAAAATACCAGGGCTGCAACTAACTATTATTTTCCTTATTACTTTTTATATGAATCAATTGGCAAATAAAACAATAAATTAGTCAAAGAAATCACAATTTCCTAGATCAGTGGTTCCCAACATTTTTCCTTAAGGGACCCCTTCACTATCATTTAGAACTGACTATGACACATTTATTATTTTACTGTCCTAGATGGTGACGTCATTACGGCACATTTTTGGGAAGCTGGAACATTGGACCCATCACATTTTTGGTATTATTGCTTGAAAAGTATTAATAAATTATCAAAATAGTAGCCAATTAATTTTCTGTGAAACGAATAATCAATTAATCGACTTATTGTAGTTCTAAATAATACAGGTACAGAGAGATACAGCCTTTAATGTTAAATGCTCTATCTTTATAGACAAAAATTAAATATATATACATTTTAATACTTTAAATTCTATTTAAACTCTGATCAGTCACTGTCAGGACACAGACATGCACAAAAAAGTAAAAGCATCGTAATATTCTGAATGTACCAACATGTTAATCATTTAATTTCAGTAAATCGAAAAAAAGGAAATGAGCTGTACAAATAGAAGATGGTGTAATGATTGATTCACTGCATCAGTGCAGTAAATTGCATTTCAATCTCAATGAATCGATCAGGCTGCAGTCCTGTATCACACAGAAATGCTTTGAATAGAATATTCCTAACAAGAACAAAAACAACTAATGATTGCTGATTTAGGCTATTTTAACAAATTGGAACCATTAAATCTGTCAGAACTACTGTACATAGGCACAGAGGCTCCTTTGGGCTGTTCTCTTTAAAGTAGAGATATTCTTGGTGCCAATACTGGAAAATACAGTACACTGAATTTCAACAAATAGAAGGCAGAGAAAGTGACCATTTTCAAGTGCCAGCAAACAGAATAAAACAGCAGGAGTGCTGCAGGAACTTAATTCATCTACACAGTCACTTTCTAAGGTGACAGACTTCAAACAATAAGAATAGTGTCACTAGAATAATTAAGCATTATTATCTCATGCTGGCATAGATACTGAACTAAACTGTAGCTGACGGTACAGTCTAACAAATATTTGCTTAAAATGAAAAGAATAGGTATTTTTGACAGCAGACATGTTGATTTGTCATAGTAGGAAAAGCACCGGTCTTAGTAATAACACTGATGATGCCTCTGTTGTATTCAAGTGTCCCAGTAAGCCATGACAGTGTGACAGCGAGCCAACATGTACAATACAAGGACCCTGAAACTGAAGCAGCTAAATGGAATTCATCAATTTTATTATCTACGTCTATATTTTTCCTTCTGTGACAAAAGATTTCATTGCACGTGACTTCAAATTAAAAATGCGTCAAATATAGTATACAAGGTGCGCATTGTATTGAGCACTGAAGAAACTGCACAGTGGCTCTCTTCTTCCTGTGCACAGACAAGCCAACAACCCTTACCTGGCACTTAATACCAGCCTGGCTGCAGCCGCAGTGGCGAGGGTCGCAGTAGAGGCGGCAGTCACAGCCACATTCCTCCCGCGAGAGGCGGATGGCTCTGAGCTCAGCTTTCTCCCGCGCATCTATGCGGGCGATGCCAGAGGCTCGGAGGAGGGCTCGGCGGCGCTTTGTGGGCAGTGGCTGAAGGAAGAAACAGTCATCCACCTCCACCCCGTCCACGTCGAGGTCCTCATCTGATACGTCCTCCAGAGTCAGCAGGTCTGCCTGAGTGCACTCCACCGTGCCGTTCCGTGTCAGCTGTGGACGACAGTTAGGGAAGACAATAAGAGACTGATTTCCTATTGAGAGTTCAAGTGAGTAATTATCATAAAGAGTGAGACTTCAATAACTGTTTTATCTGGAACTTAACTTAATCAAGAACTTTCAAACTGACAGTGTTAGAAAAAGTACTAACTAAGTACAATAACAATACAACAATGTAAAAAATATTCTATTTAAAGTGAAAGTTCTGCAATAAAATTCCTACTTAAGTAAAGTAGTAAGTAGTAATATCACCAAAAAGTACTTTTGTAGTACAATTGGCCCTGTAACTGATCTGTTATTATACATGTATATTCCATGGTTAGATTGCTAAGACTGCTCAGTCAATTCATAAGCAACATTTTACTGTTGTAGCCCGTCCAAGTGGAGTTTAGATACATTTTGGTATCTTAGTCCAGTGCTTCCACCCTCTCACATAATAATCTGGGGAGATGATTAATAGAGTAGGAAGAAGGAAAACAGTTCTACACACATTTTTTTTTACTTTTTCCTGTACCATTTCAGATTTTTCTCCTTGGCTGACCTGCTAACAACTCACAGACATCTGAAAAGTGACAAGGGTCCCAAACTACACACACTATACAAAGTAACTAGTAACGTAGGCTGTCAGATAAATGGAGTGGAGCAAAAATTACAATATATTACATATTACATATGTATATATGTATATTACATATGTATCATAAGTAGCATTACAAATGTACAGTACTACAGTACTATGTAAATGTACTTTGCACTTGCAAATGGGGGATGTCATTTGCTTTTCAAGAGACAAGAAAAAAAAGTAATGTACCCTAAAATATTCTAAATGTCATTTTGTAAGACATCATATGCCAAAAATATATTTGACCCAAAACAAGGCACCTTGGAACAGAAGGTGATTTGTGCTCATCCACTTATCAGTCCGTCCCTGACAAAATGTGAAACCTACCTTCATCTTGCGGGCATTGAGCTTCTCCTGGCGCAGGTGCTGGCGTAACGTGTGCCGGTGGCTCGTTTCCTGTTCGCGGGCAAACTCGCCCAGCGTGTAGTGTCTGATGGAGGAGTGGTGACGGGCCATGCCCAGTGAGCTGCCCCCTTGGCTGGGCACGCTGGTGAATCCCTGCCGCCGGGGGAAGTAATACACCGTCACCACATCGAAGCGTACCCGTTTCCCCCCCGGTGACGGCTTGTGCTGTCTGAGGATGGAGGTTGCTGAAATGTGGAAAAGGGAAGAGATTTGGGATGCGATGTTACACATGAGTAATTAAATACTTTTGCTAATTAACTGTTTGAGTGGGTTTTAGAGTGGATTGCCTTTAACGTGTGTCTCCTGTTGTTCCTTACGGGTAAATGCAGTGCTGGAAGGAGGGTTGAGGCTGTCACAGCTGTCAGCGCTGTCACTGCTGGAGATGTCATCGTCGGAGTCCTTAGGTGTAGAGAATGGAGAGCTGTTGTCCACCTCTTCATATCTTCGTTTGAGGCTGAGGGACGAACCTGCCTCCATGGAAACTCGGTGTCTGATGGGAGATGGGGGGGAGAGAGAGAGAGAGACAGTGCAGCACACATTGAGCCATGGTCAAAACACTCGGCACCAGTAACTGTGAACCAAAACATGTGGAAAAGTGGATATTTGTGAAAGTCAAAAAAAATAAACTTTTATTAATGAGAGGCAGAGTGGATAATGTGTGTAGCGCTGTGTAATATTTGTTTACCAGTTGAACACCTTAAAGACAGAATGATCTTGTTGTCACGCACAGAAACTGAACTGGATCATTCGTGTTAAATTGCTCCTGTGTAAGGTCAGCTCCCAACACCGACACAGAAACTAAAAGGTGACATCAGCTGTTTGGTTCTGTCTCCTTTCATCTGTATTCCAGCTCCATCATTTCCTCCCTCTGCCTCCCCCCCAGCCCCCAGCCTCGCCCCCCCCAACATCTCACATGAAATCCTACTTTGAAATCATCAAGTCCAAATACGTCACCATGGCAACTAGGCAAGCAAGCACGGGTTTATGCGAAGAGCCTTGAAGCAAATGATCTCCATGGCTTCGCACTCTTCTGTTTCTCTTAATTCTGCCATAAACACCGCAGAGGGGGATCGATGCGAGCGAATCTGAAGGCCGAAGCTAATTAATCACATCGGCGGGGAGAGGTCAAACAAGGTGAATGAGAGCAGATGAATATGTGTCTTACGATATGTTATGTTAAGCCCTAAATGTCTGCGGTCAAACTTCATCACACAAAGTTTTATATTTTGAAGATATAATCCAAATAAATGAACACGCACACTATTCCATAAAGACAGTGTCCGTGTAAAAATATATACCTTAAGGTTATTATATTAGTATTCTCTATGAATAAGGCACTTCAAGAGCTAATTAATAGTTTACTATCCCACTAACAGCAACGTGCTGCACCTTCATTCCTGATGGCACAGCTCCAAATGAGCCATTATTAAAGCTCTCACAGGGAAAAACCTGTCCTAAGTATATAAATATATGTAACATTTCTACAATATTGTACAGCCTAGTTTGTCTTTAAGCTAAACAGGAAGATGATGTAGTGATGATGTCATATAGACAAATCCTGGAGCTGCTCTGTGGATAGTGAATAATGAAACAACTGCTGCAGCCAGAGTGATTTCACCGGGATAGGAGGACACTTTATCATCTAAGTCCTAACATGGGATGCGATATCTCAAACATAAATGATGAGCTGTAGTTGTCTGTCTGCTGTAGTTGTCTGTCTGCTGTAGCTGTCTGTCTGCTGTAGTTGTCTGTCTGTGACGCTACTGTGCAAAGATCACTGAAGCAGCCAACAAATTCATATGGATTTTTTCTTTACGTGCCTCTTTGGAAGGAGGTTTTAACCTATTTTAACACCCCTGAAAGAGGCTGCGAGGAACAAATGTTCAGTAAAGATGCTTGTAGCATCAATGTGAACTGGATTTTCCACCTGGGGGACTCCAGTATAAATGGGCCAAACAGAGCAGAGGGGCTCATTTCACATATGAAAATCTGACTCACTCAACCTCTCAGTTGGACAGTGTGGACAGCAAGCTACAGTGTGCTAACAGCCCATTGTGACTCCACGGTGTATTTACCTCCAGGGACATGCAGTGTTGCTGATATATTTGTTTAACTGTGTATGCATGCAGCAACTGACCAGACTGTGCTGGGGGAGGTTGGACATTATCAGTCTGACAGGCAAAGACTCGACCGCCCTCTCTCTCTCTCCCTCTATCTCTCTCTCTCCAGTATACCAGCTCTCCCCATTTTTATACACACACATACATACATACACATACACACACATACACAATGGCAAACCGCCCGGTTATTGAAATACTAAACCCTCTTACCTGGGGCAGAAACAGGGACCCTTATTCCAACCAACTCGTAGGTCGTTTCCCTTTCCCAATGTGAGCTGCACATCAATCTTTTAACGCCCTATGAGATGCCCCCTTTCTTTCTTTTTTTCCCTTTCTTTTTTATGTGTGTGTGTGTGTGCCAAAACCGAATATCCCCTTAAACCGACTATCCAGACTGCAACCGTGGAGCAACGGCGACCCCAAAGTGATCTGGCTTTTAAAAGCTTTGCGTGACTGTCAATTTGCAACACTTTTTTATGTCTATCTCGACTATACGAGGCTACTTTAAGACTCCACGCTCATTGTTCTGCACAGTGAAAAGATCACGAAGAGAGCAGGAGCTGTCTGTTAGACCTGCGGGTTTTATTGAAACGTTGCATGCCTCCCTAGTTTAAAGGACAGACGGCGGAGAAGAAGAGGGACGTCGTATGGTCGCCTGCGATTTGTTCCCCCAACATTGTTCGGTGCAATGTTAATAACGTAAACAGACTAAAAACGTCTTATCTTCCTGATTTAAGCCCTGCAAACGCTTGCGATGGAGAAATCCGCTGACATCTGTGTTGGTTTATCCTTTTTCTCACCGGGGCGGGTTCAGTCGGGCTTTGCTTTCTTCGCAGTCTTCTCGCATTAACGCAGACTGGCTTGTTTTTTGGTTTTTTAAGCCGGTCGGTGCCTAAAATGTTGCAAACGTTGTAACGAGAAGACGCCTTTTCCTCCCCCGTTTCGCCCCGGCCCCGTTTGTTACAATGTAACAATGGAGGAAGAAATTCTTCCCTGTAGTCGTATATATACTTATTGTGACATCACAGGCATGCCATGCGCCGGAGCATGCTGGGAAATGAAGTTTTTTGGGGGTTTTTTTGGACTTTCTTTGTTCACACTGTGCAAAGGCGGACACTTGCAGCATTTGACAGCACCATGCCACGGATGATGTTTTAAACATAAAACCTGCATCTTGACACAGTGTTATTTACAGTATGTTACATCATTATTGTCTTGTCACAGCTAGTTTCCATGGCAACAAAATGACTGTGGATGTCTGTAAGCCTCCACTTCTGTCCAGCAAAAAAAAGGGAAAAGGCTGTCTGTGTTTAATAATATAAATAAAAACAATTTGTCACATTTTCTTTAACAACATTTAAGGGATATTGTTAAAAACACATTTATTTTAATTTTTTGCAAATATTAATAGGAGGACAGACAATAGATGGCAGTACGTTGGTAGGTATTTTAATAACGCTGATGAGATGGGGTCAAAGATGAAAATGTAAAATGTCATGCTATCAATTTCATGTAACCAGTACAATGGACTCAACATAAACTAACCACATTGTTTCACATGCAGCTCTGGTGTGTGCCCAACAGCACATTTCATGTATTAGTATTTGGAAGTGGTAACATCCAAAAACAATGAAGAGACGTAAGTATGTTAAAAAGATTAAAAAAGAAAAAAAAAGTAACACGCAATTCTTATGAAAACATTTTTTAAAATAATCATCTATTTACAAATAATGCTGGGAAATGGCTAAGGATAAAACACAATGAAACAGCTAAAAAATAAAAAAATAAAAAGTTGAGAGGGATAGCAAGTACATGAGCCAGAGACAGTTTGCTGGTGTTGCCATTGTGATCACTAACAGACAGTGTTTAATCATCATTCAAGATTCATAAGGAACAACCACGGGTGCCATTATGCGCTCTACGCTAACTATAAGGACCAAACAGTGTGTGGGAGACAGGTGAAAAGTTCAAACCAGGGACATTGTTAGCTTTCAAAAGGAATCACAGATGTTACGCAGAACAGCTGGATTCCAGCAGTTTCCCTTGATGTCCTGATTGCTGATTCTGATGCCTCTTGTAGTTCTTTGATGTGATTCTGTGATTGTGTTAGCTATACCGTGTTTCTTGCAGGCTGGCTTAAGTGGATCCCATAAGGCAACCTAGCATGAAGACGAGAAACTATGCTTGCATCGCAGACTGAAAGTCAAGTACTGACGAAGCATTTCTCGTTTTGTTTTTTTTTTTGTCTTTTTTGGTTGTTGGTTTTTTAAAAAGAGACAGCAAACAAGCTTTGGCACACCAGATGCTCAGCTAACAAACAAACAGTGATAGCAGCTGTAGTGCCACTAACCTCTTTCATGAGATATAAGCGACAGAGGAAAATGCAACCATTCAAGGGAGACAATGGCAGGGCGAGAAGGACACTGTTAATTCGCTGCGGTAACAGTCACTCCCTCGAACGTAAGACAGTAAGGTATAGTGAGGAGTGGGGCTTCAGTCGCATATTCCTTCAAGCAGCCTCAAGAGGTTCCTTGGGGCATCTCCACATATTCCAGGAACAGCGAGGAGTATGAAGCGCTAGAGGGGCTGACTGGATCGGGGCAGACGAAGAGAGCAACGCGGTTCTCCTGCCCAGTATTCACTTCAAGATGATGTGGTAGCCGTCATTTGAGTCATCTGGGGGGGAAAAGGAAAGCAGAGAAGGGTGTTATAAATAAATCTCCCATGATAAAGTTCATTAAGGCTCTATGTTAGATATAGAAACAGATAAATCATCATCGTTTATTAGCGCCACGCTCGGATACCTTTCATTGTGTCCAAAACAAAACATACTTCGTCCTGGAAGTTCTGAATCATCTGTTAAAGAGAGAGTAGATGTTTAATGCAGGAGGGAAACAAGCTAAAGGAGTTTACTAGCATCTGTAATGACAACTAGTCAGTTTCACATCATCTGAGACTGGGATTTGAAAGAGTAGCCTTGGTACTAGCAGGGGGAGATTATTGGAAAAAACAACATGATCTTACCTCATCACTGACCAGTACATGGATTCCAGTGGGACCCTGTTTAAAGATTTGATTTATTTGTCTGGGTAAAATGTTGAAGAGCTGGGCGATCTTCTCTGTCAGCTCAGCAGATGTAAGCTCCTCCAAGTAAATGGCGTGATATACTGCAACAAAGACGCAGATACAAGAACACGATTATCTTAAATGCTTTAACTACTGTAAAAACGTACTGTCCGTATTTTGTGTATCAAGATTTACTTTGAACAGAAATGCACAACAAGTCAGTCTTCTTGTGCACGGCAAGTGATGCATTTTACTTTAAAAAGCTAGAGCAACTTGTTTGAAATTCAAGAACAGAGTTGTAACCATTACCAGCAGCAGTTACAACAGCAGAGCATAGAGATACGCTTAAGCTTCATGGAATAGTTTGAAATTTTGGGAAATATGCTTGTTTCTTAGAGTTAGATGAGAATATCAATAACAGTATCGCCTGTATGGTAAATGGGATGCTACAGCAAGCATCCAGTTAGCTTAGCTTAGCATAAAACCTGGAAACAGTTAGTGTGGCTTTGTCCAAAAGGTAACAAACTCCACCAATCAGCACCTATGACGTCAACTAATTAACCACGTTACATCTTGTTTGTTTAACATGTCTAAAAACCAAAGTGCAAAAACATCAAGTTGCAGTTTTACAGGAGGCTGCCGAACAAACATCTGACGGACTTCCTGGCTGGTTACCTGGCATCTGCACGGTGACAAGAGGACTACAGGAATTATCATTACATTTCAAATTTACCGAATAAATGTCACAATGGTATTCATCTTCTCATTTCATCTCAACTCTCAGAAAGACACTAAAAAGGTGCATTTCCCAAAACGTAGAACTATTACTTTATATGTTAGCAGAAGAAAATTTAAGTAAATACACCACAGTACTAAGGACTTACAGTTATACATTACTCACATCTTTTTTATTCCAATGTTTGATACCATGATGCGGTGCTACTGGGATTCTGTGATGTGTCCAACAATGCCTTGAAGCTGCTCAACTCTCAAGGATTCTGTCCCGAATTCAAGTTTCCTCTATGTATTTTGCTATAGCAAACCATGCATAAACCATGAACATGCACTGACCAAAGAAAGTGTTGGCGGCAGCATCTCCGTTTTCATGTTTCACTTGCTGATCCCGTGTCTGCTGAGACTCCTGGCAAACGTAAATGGTGAGCCTCGGACGTACCACCCTGTAAACATACACACGGAGGAAAACAGCATGTCCATGAATGTACGAAGCATTTTTTTTAATATACCAGGTTAATGACAGGTTAATGATACTGTAAAATGGGATTTAATTAAAGAAGACCCACCGTCCCTTCAATGCGTTGAAGAGTCTAATACCATCAGCTGGCCCACAGATCTGAATAACATCCTCCCTGGTCAGCTTCAACAGATCGGCCCCTGGGACACATAAACAAGACATTACTGAAGACCGTAAAACCATTCCCTCTATATGTGAACCTGAATTTCACAACAAGTTTGTTTTCAGTCCAACTGTTTACGTGCACAGTAAAATAATACAACACATCATAGACCCCTTTAATGGAACAGCCTTTTCACAGACAGCACCATACAGGGTCCACTAAAGACCACAGTACTAGGGGCTGGAAGATATGCAGTGTCTTGCTTAAGCAGAGTGGATGTTTTGTGCCATGTAGGGTTGAGACTTTCTTCACCTCTATGCTACATTGCATACTCTAAATAACAGATTCTTTGTCTACAGCTGTTTTCATAAAGGGGATACATTAAACAGTTAGCTTCATCTAGCTAATAAAGTAATGACTTGGTAATGGTTAAATCTTAAATATAACACTAATATATTTATAGTTACATAACACTGGCTCATTCAGGGATTGTGGTTTGTTAAACAGATTTTTTCTGAAAGCTTAAGAGATGATAATTAAGTTACAGTTGTTGTTTTTACAGTGTACTGTGAAAGGCATACACAACGGGCATTTCATTTCTCTCCCTGCATGTTTTCATTCATGCTGCTGTGGCCTTTAAGTGTTGTGACATGTTGAAAGTGATACAGATATTAGTCCAAAAGACTTTTTTTCACAGCAGCCATTTTGACATGAAATAGTAGGGTAATCACAGGTGTTAACAATGATACTAATTGAGGTTTCATTTACTGTTGCAGAGCCTTTGCAGTGAGCCAACATGCACAATAGCAGCACCCTGACTCTGTTTGACCTGAACTAAACATAACCTTAAATAGTGTCATTGGTATCACCTGTGTTTATTCTACTTCTCCATCTCAAAATGGCTGCAGGAGATGGCTGTAAAAAAGGTTTACCTAATCAGGTAAATGTCTGAAAGGGGCTTATTTCCTTTCACATTCCTGGCTCTTTTCTCTCTAAAATGCATGAGCCTGGGTTCTGTCAAGCTGTTCTGTTACAGTCACAAGTGACACTATACAAAAACAAATGGGTGTTCTGGATTCAAGAGCCTTTTTACCTGAGAAGTTGGTGAAGAGTCGACAGAAGGGTGAGAAGCGGTTTCTTAAAAGCCACTGTTGTGCATCCTGTGGTGTTGCTGTGGGTAACAAATTCTGAGAAGAAAAAAAACAAGACAGAACCGAAAATAAAACACTTAATTGCAACAAATCTCAAAGAGTATCTCAGAGTTAGCTTGTAGAAGTCACATTACAAATTACTTAGATTTCAAAAAGGTTTCCTTCTGTGACTTCAAAATTATTATATTGCATGTTGTGCTCTCAATATCAATATGCCTGAATCTATTTAACCTTTTTAATCTAGAGTTGATTTATACTGCATATATCCTCTGAAACGATTACATTTGTGCAGAGGTTTATTAATCTCTACTAATCTAATTGTACTTGGGTTACATCACCATACCTTTGTTTCTTAATGAATGTAAGAAACTAAAGCTAAACATATCAGCCAAACATCTGCCCAAATACAGTTTGTACAGCATAAAATATTCTGACAAATCATCTTCCAAGGTCAAATAATAGAAGCACTGAATCATTGTCTGCTTCCCTGTAATACATAGAAAAGAGTTCTGATGTAATGTTGACCTGATTTTTCAATATTAAATGCTTTCATTCACACCTTGAGGCAGGTCAGGCTTTTTTTGTTTATTTTATCTTGCCTTAGTGAGTCTACTGGGAGGTTTAACGCACATATGTCAGCTTTGCATTTGTGAATATTAATATGCGATGGTTCAGTGAGGCCGGACGTAGCCAGGCAAGTAAATCCAGAAAGCGAAAAATGCTCTTTTACTCACATCTGCTACCTGAATGACGGGCTCAGGCTGGTGGTTTGGGGATCCATTTCTTAAAGGGACGAAAAATTGACCATGTTAGAATCCAAGAGGAATATTGAATACCACATTAAGAATCTGAAAACACTGTGCTCCTCGCTAACCAAAACCACATGTTGATTTTATGGTAAATTAAATTCAAGCAGCAAGCAGTACTGGCAGAAATCCTGAAACGCTCATACCCTTCCGCAACTGGGAAGCTGTTGTGTGTGCTGTTGAAGCCAGGAGATGGGGAGTTGCTGACATATGTGACCTCAGGCCAGGGACAGCACTGCAAAAGAACACTTTTGTTACTGTGGCATCTAAATAACCTCAGAAATAACTTTCTGCTGCTGCCAGTTATTAGCTGCAGCTTTCCCTTACATTTAATTTATCCAGACTGTTGGTGTCATTTTCACAATTCACAATTTTATTTACTAGTTTTAAATAATTAATTGGAATTTGAGCTGAGATGGAAAGTTATGAGACAATCAATCAATCAGCAACTATTTTGATAAACGATTGTTGTTTTCTCAAGCAAACATGCCAAACATTCTCTAGCTGCAGCTTCTCAGTGTGAGGGTTTGCTTCTGTTCTGTCAGTATTACATCATTGTGAAGTGAATATTTTTACTTTTGGACTGCTGGTCAGACAAACAAAAGGAATTTGTTGACATCTGTCACTGTGTATTCTGGGACATTGTGATGAGCATTTTTAGTTGACATTTCACATACTAATAAGATTAATTGAACAAATAATTGATAGATAAATCGATAATGAAAATAATCGTTAGTTGCAGCTCTAGCTGAAATGACAGAAGCTGACCCACAGCCAATTACACAGGTGTTTTTGCTCTTTTCCAGGCTCTTCTCTTCATTTAATTATTCATCCCTTTTACACATTAGTAATATGCTAACCTCTGTCAGGATTGTGGTTTCATAGGATGGCTGGTACTTTTCCTTTTCCTGTGGCGCCCTCTTCTCCATCTTTTCCCTGTCGGTCTTCTGCTTTCTGTCCGCACCTTTAGGCTGAAACAGGTCATGTAGGGGTCATTTAGGTGGTGGGCATAAATAACAAATTCATGCAGTACATCCCTGTCTCTTCTCATTCCTCTCACCTTAAAGACTTTGACCTGGCAGGAGGCAGAGTGGAGGTGTTCTGTGTACTCTTCATTCTCATTCTCTTTAAACGTGTCGATCTGGATGCGGAAAGGCACACCCTTCTCTCCTCCATGCTTGCGCATAGTAAATTCTGTGCTGATGCAGTGTACCTAAAAAAGGAACGGAATAGGAAATTTAAATCTATACAGGAATGATGACATAACACAAAACTTAGGTCAATTAAATTCATTAATAAACAGATATTGGCAAAACTATTGTATTAGTAATGACTGTCTGCAGAATGACATTCAGTTTACTTGCCATTTTGTCAAACAGAATAGATGAGTACACTAAATGTTACAAAGCTTAGCTGCATGATGCCAAAGTGCTCAAACTTTGCCTCAGATTACTGCTGTTTAATGAATGAAAGTAATTCAGGAAAATATCAGTGTTGTCTGTCATGCTACCTGGATAAAAACTGAGGTTCTTTTTGATGGGTCCCAAAGGAACTCCACAGTGTTAAGCTGAGTAGGGTTAGCCCTGGGGTCGATTATGCCGACGGACATGGGGATATCTGCAATGGATCAATGTAAAACAGGCTGTTATCAAAAGAGTTCTTAATGCACACCATCGTCTCCATAATATCAACACTGTCATCTAAGCCATGTACTTATAGTTCAGGTTAACAGTCAATATCCTGAACAGAATTTATTCAAAAACTACTGGGTGGTTAATATACATATACAAGGCTGCACAGCAACATTCATTCAACAAACAAATCCACCATAGGACCCAAAACCATTTGTTATCAGGGCTCACCCAGGTCGAGGATGCGATCTCCCGGCCTGTTCCAGCGCCAGCCTTCCAGCTGCTGGTGCTCTGTGTACTGAAGTCGTCGGTCATGAAACACCACACGGATGATGCTCTAAAATTCAGAGAAATTAATTTTTTTTATAAAGAATTCAGGGCAAATGTTATTGCTATTTAAACTAACACATACATAATGTACATGTGAACCGGCACGTCACAATCTTACCTTCACCATTTTACCAGTGATTTCCGGAAGCTCCCCAATTTTCCGATTGTCAAGCATTCTAATTTCATAGGACTGGCCTGCAATGACAAGTCCATATAGAGAATAAAAAGATCGGGATTCCTACGAGGCTGTCACAAAACATTCCCAGCTGATATCTATTCCTTTTAGTCATACTAATCTCAATAACACATCATTTCTACAAGCTTGTTTGGATGGCAATGGCATGACTATAAAGCAAATTCTGCAATACCACATATACTGCCAGATAATGATGATGATCAATCACACATCACAATATCTGTGTAACAGAAAAGAAAAAGATACCCTTCAATGTCTTAAACAACTTCAGAGTAAAACAGATACAAGCTGACAACAGTCAGATTTTTCTCCCTGCCTCTGTTTTTTTTTTTAAATTAAATTTGTCTATGAAGATCTACTGCCATCCAGGTAATACAATATCTAGAATTGCTAGATCATATAACTGAATTTGCTTTTAGACATCAATACATTTACACAAATCTGAAATGTACAGTGTGTCTGGGATCCCGATGCTGACCTTGGTTGAGGTAGGTGAGTGTTTCATCATGCAGTTTAACAGCAGGCGAGGTAGCTGCACACAGAACATACTGAAAAGGAAGGATCTTGTTGTCGCTGTCTGGGGGCAGGTTGGACTCCTCCTGCTTGAAGATGGGGAGGGCAAGTACATCGCTGGAGAACAGAGACAGAAGAACAGCCTGATCACCTCATGTGAGACACACTCATTATTAACAGGTCTACAGAAAAATGCTTCTGGATATTTAAGTGGTTACTTTCAACCTCATGATAAAAGTAATGTTACGTCAAATGGAGAGTGTAACAATACCTGTCATCACTAAACAACACTGAATGCTGGGTTACTGTGTTCATCAGCTTTGCAGTTTAGAAATTATAATGGAGGCAACACTACTAAATACCAAGGTATCCAGTCAGGATCTCATTGCACCTCTCAACAGAAGAATGTCAGGAACAGGCAGGCACTTTGCAGCTTGCACAGTATCGTTTAACAGTGCACTTAACCAGCCAGAAAGCAGCACATAAGAGAAGGATCTTTCTCCAGCAAAGCAAAGTGCTTGAGTCAGCAAAACCAAAATGGATTTCACATCATTTCGATCATGAAAAACTGAGCACACGCATCATAAATATCTACTTGGACATTAAACTTCTGAATAAGACCTCAACAAATGAAAAAAAAAAAAAACACATAACTGTGTGCAGATATATTTACATTAATGTATCAGGGATACGCTGCATAGTGGTAGTCGGATGCCGCAATCAAATTTCACCAAAGAGTGTTCTTCGTCTCATAATCACTGCCTTGCAATTCATCTGCATGTGGTGATTAATTTGCCCTTTTTGCTCTCTCTCCGTGCCAGATTTTCACATATTCGTGTACAAATTCAAAGCGTGAAGAGATTTCTCTGCTCAAACTGCGCCGGACACAGAGCTCAGCTGAGAGAAACACTGCACATTAATGAGGCAGATTTGATTAGACGGAAAAGGTTGATCACTTGTCTAGATATGAAATACCTTCACACAGAATCTCTAATATATTCCACATAAGAGTCATAAAATTACACACTTGACATTCGACTAACTTGAGAAAGTGAAGGAGGCATCACTCTGCCATTATTACCACGATTTTACACCAACAATTAGGCCCCCCAAATAAAACACATAGATGTTTTCATTCATGTTAAAAACGTTTGGACTGTATTTAAAAAAAAATAAAAAATCACAAATCAGATGACATATTTTAGTCAATATTTAAGTGAAGCAGCATCAGAGGAGCTCAGTTCAACAGTAACGTTAAAGCAAAGGGATCAACCCATCCCAAATAAAACCCATACAGTACCTCATGCTATATGCCCCCGCACCAAGCTCCTGACCAATGCCCGAGAGACTGGCATCGAAGTCCTGGACCAGTCCGGACTCAATCACTTCATCCGTGAGGGGCAGCTTCAGGGCCCACGCCATGGTGACGATGTGGAGATCTTAACGGAGTGCAGATCCGGTTTAAAAGTTGAACCTGTTTCCCCCCACAGTCTTCAAATCTTTGGAGTGGAGAAAGTGAAATAAGAAGTGCATTAACAACTTTTAAGGTCGTGTGGAAAAAAAAAAAAAAAGACGCCGACATGCAGAGGCTTGACCGAGGGACGTGCCCACAGAAACGAGACTCAAATTAGCAGCTTGTGTAAAGGTCAGTAACAAGTTACCACTCTAAACAACGCAGGGCTCCTCTCCTCTCCTCTCCTCTCCTCTCCTCACACACACACGTTTTATGCAACCGTGCACTCGGGTGAACACAACTTGCGTTCAGCCACACTAATATTAGTTTGCACTCATTATTCCGTTAGGTAACATTATCCATTAATAAAAACATATACACAACATACCTTAAAGTGAACGTGTAGCTACTCGCCAGCACTGCGACAGGGTCATGCCATCATGTCGCTGCAGCTCTAAAATAAACATGTCGAGCTCACTAACTAACAAGCTCCTGCGAGATAACTCAGCAAGTGGCGATGATAGCTCTTCTTTACCTCAGTTACTGGCGAATAAACCGCTCCTGGTAGACATATCTGTAAATAGAAGCGCCTCGGAAATGTCTCAGACTCTTAAATATATATAATATAATGTCTTGCTTTTGTTTGTTTATCTGGATTCGTCAGGAAAAGGAGCCGCCGTCATTTCCGATTTGTTCTTTTTCTTCGTTGTTATTTCACAGCGGCAGCACAGGACGTTTGGGGAGCTCGTTGCCACCACCTACCGCTTATGGTCGATAGAACAGGGAGATGAAGGAGGAGGTTTACTGCTTTTAGAAGTGATATTTTTACTTGAAAAATGAAAAAAAAAATGAGGCCTTCTTGACTTTAAGTCGTGCTAGAAAACTTAAAAAATACACACAAGCATCAATAATAATAATTTTGTCAATAACAATGTGCAATAATCAATGGACAATAATTACTGTGCAATCTATTGCCTACGTGCAACTGCTGCTAGTATTTGTGTTATTGTGTTATCTGTTGTGGTTTTTTTTACTGTTTTTTCTCTTGTACAGTGTTTATATTATATTATATTATATTATTTTTTCATACTCTTACTGTTTTTATACTGTTTCTTTCTATCCACTTATGCTGCTGTAAGATTGGGAATTTCCCCATGGGATTGTGGGACTATTAAAGGAATATATTATCAATATATATAATAATGCTATATCTCAGCATTTAGCTCACTTCTGTGAAGAAAAGTAGATATAAAGTAAATTGTCAGGATTGTTTGATTCTGACTCTGAGAACAATGGCCAAGTGGACAAGAAAACACTGAATTTGTCCAAAAAAAACCAATAAGATTAGCCTATTGCGTATTTATAATTGTTACAATTATTTTAAAAAATACATAACACAGACAGAATGTATAATAGGTTCCCTATACAGGAAATAATGCACTCAAAATTCATCCAAATCACTTTTTTTACACAAACGTCTTGCAGTTCACTATTTGGGTTAATTGTATAGTTTTGAATATAATATGAAATACCCATTAAATATGTCACTTAAGCAGGGGTTGTCAGTTTACTAAAATTATACTATACTATAGAAAAGGGGGTCCCTTAATAAAAAAGGTTAGGAACCAGTGAACTACAGCCAATGCCCAGGTCGTACACATATCAACACACAACAATAAAGAGTGATTAATAAAGACATGATTTATTTGATTTATCTGACAAAAAATGACAAAAAGTCTCCAACCTTTGTTTTTTCCTTATCTCACAGTAACCTGAACTTTTTATCTGCTTTGCAGAGTCAAATGAGTAACAGCTGATATCTTATAATGTAGCTCTTCCTTTTCTCTACTGATAACTTAGTACATTAAACAATATTATATACTGTCTTCCAATATTGAACATGAAGGTAAACATAGTTAAAGCAAAAACTTTGCAATATTCATTATTTTTATGGTTAGGTAAGTCCACTGCAATATAAGCCTACTGTTATTCAAAAGGCAAATATGAGGTGGACCATAAAATGCATTATATAATTCACAAACTCAAAGAATGTGATAAATGCATACTAGAGTTTATATTTAATCTGCAGTATTTTACATTTTATCTGCGTAAAAAGTACATTAATCTTAGTGATGTTGCTTGTCAAGTTGATGACTGCAATTTTGCCAGTACTGCTACATTTCGTAAAGCAAAGCCTTTTGCTGTTCAAGAACATTAAATGCAGAAATTAAATTCTCTCACATACATCACTGAAACCTTGCACTGTACATAAACCGTTCGTAACCGCTTTACTTTCCCTGCTGTCACTAAAGTGCAAAGACCTCTTGAAGAATGAAAGTAAATCTTAAATTGGCAAAAATAAAGAAGACCGCCATAGTTTTGTTCCTACATAAAAATACTGAACATGCAAACACTCTTCTTAGTCATTCAGATTGAAAGTCACAACACATTAAATCACAAAATCCCCTTTCTTGGCTGAACAGTTAATAGATTTTTTAAATAAGTAAATCAATTTGATTGATATTAGGCTTAGTAAAAGTATCAAAAAATCTCCTGCTAATGTTCCTAGGCAACATGAGACTATTTTATGTTGACTTCATAATAGGCCAATTAAGATCCTATTTTGCAAACTTTATCTAAGTTGATGAAAAATGCAGCAGAAACATTGTCAAGTCATTAAGGGAATAGTCACAACAGTGAATAAAGAGGAAATACAAAATACTCTCAGAGTATTATAAGCACATTAAACAGAAAGTGTAAAAACAGGACTGTGGTGTTTTCACACATACGTGTCACCCACACATACAATATGTGTATTTGCATGACCAGTAACTCACAAATGAAAAAACGTTATAAAAAAAAAAAACTAAATTAAGTTTACAGTTGTGGCATCGCAGACAATAGCCGAAGTTGCAACTTTATTTTGATAAGAACCTGTCGTCCGTGGAACTCAGAAATTACCCTCTCTATGGACACCAAACAGTGTGACACATTTCACACCGCTGAAATAAAGTATCAAAGCCAAACAAGAGGAAATTACTCAAGATTTTAAGATCATCTTTGTGATTACCAATAAGATATGTCAAAATGATGATTGTCCCAAAAACAGTTTCAGTCAGGAGTCCATAGATAGCAACGTATTTTTTGGCGTTCCTTTGACAACAAGTGATCTTCTGATGAAAATAGGCTACTAGGCTATTTACTTCTTTCAGTCTTCAGAATCTTATATCTGTCAGTATCTTACTTATGTTTGCAAAGCTGCTCACGCGGTACAAATACTACATGAATACAAAATAAATGAGCAGCTAGAATCTTAAAAACATCCAAGGTGGCAAAAGCATGTTATTCAAACATCAGCGTTATGTCAGCCATTGTGCCAAAGTGACAATTTTGTGACTAAAATCAATGTGACTCAATGCACTGTCACTTAATATAATTCAGAGGGATATCCTATAAAACCACTTGTATAAAAGTTCATCAAATATTTTTAGTTGTTATCGTCACTGTATTATTATCATCTGAGTATGATAAGAGGACCATGCAGTTTGACTTAGTACCCACCACACATGAGTGTACACATATACAGCCTTAAAATACAATAGTTCATTTTTACTAACACTTTTCCTTCATTTTCTCAAAAAGTTCATATTCTTTCAACCATATTATTGGAGTTTAGCTTGTAGTATTGTATTGTAACATAATTTGAATCTGTGCTGCTGTATTAAATGTTCAACTTCCCAAAACGACAAAAGATCAGTGGCGAACCCTCCCACAACAAGGTCGCTACTGAACCTGGAAGACATTGATTTTGCTTGTGTTTTTCAATGTCTGTCGCCGGTTGCAGAACCATACTCGCACAACCTCTCGGTCATAGTTTAGCTCTCTGGCAATTTCTGTAATCTCTTGGCCTGTTGGCAACGCATTCTTCTCAAAGTAGGAGTTAAGAACTTCTATTGCCTGCGGTGTGAAACTAGTACGTCGCTTGCGTTTTTTGGATGGTTCACCACCAACAAACTCCATCAGATTCTGCTGGCCTTTTTGGTTCCAGTGCTCCGCTTCAGCCAGCCACTTCTCCAACACCGGCTTCAGCTTCTGAGCACTCTTCGGGGTGATATCCAGCTTTTCAAACCTGTGGTGCAAAAGAAAGTTCAGCCTGAACCATATCATGAGAACACATTGTATGAACTGTATTTCTATTTTATCTCTATGAATTCACATAGACCCAATTTGCAGGAAAGTACATAAGTTAGATATTTTGATCACTAGTCTCATCTATTTACTTAATTTACCTACTTACCTCTATATAAGGATAAACCCATTGCTGTTCATATCAAAATGTCAATCTAAGATCATGAACCATTTGGACAATTCTTAAAAATGTTACTGCCTGTTACAATCATATCCACATTCAAAGTAATAGTTTTACATTTTGGGAAATATTCTTACTCTTGATCAATATGGCTCTCATACCTGTAAGGTAAATATGAAGCTAACTGATTAGCTTAGCTTTGCATTAGGACTGGAAACAGCTAGTCTGGGCTCTGTGTGAAGGTAACAGAATCTGCCTTCCACCACTTCTAAAGCTGAGCTCACTGATTAACACATTATATCTTGTTGGTTTCATCCATACAAAAACTGTTAAACTATGTGCTAGGCTAAACAGCTGCTGGCTGTAGCTTCTTGTTGAATGGACAGACAAGAAAGTGGTATCAATCTTCTCATCTCTCCCTCTCTGCAAAAAAACTAACTATATTTCCCTAAATGTCAAACAATTCTTTTAAAATAATTTTGATTCATAGGAAATAAATCATTTAAACACACAACTTCTAGCTTACAATCTATACTTATTTTTATGTAGCCAAAGCGGTGGAAGTGTTTTTGACTGTTAAGTTACCATAACACATTCACAATGATATATTAATTTAAGGATTTAACACTAAAGCCTTTTACAAATGTCAAACTGACTCCACTAAGCACGACTGCAATAACATGATGAGAGTAGATGAGTAGATGTGGGTGCGTGGCATTCACTACATTCATGCTTCAATAGTAATGGAATTGTAATTCTGTGTGCATGCAAATTAGGTCAGAGTATGCACATAACAAATGCTGCATACACCCTATCATTGATGAATCACTGATGCTTACATACAGAAATACATGGGTTTTTCACAATATAGAAGTAAAGTAAGCTTCCGCAAGGTAACATGAACAGTGGGGTCATTTACCTGCAAATGGCAGACTGGCTGTAGGCCGGACCCTCAGTTGCTGTAAGGGCCTGCCCTACTTGTGTCTGAGTAAGTCCCAAGGAGAGCCGGCGGATCTTGAAATTCTTGGCGAACTCTCGAATTTCCTCCAGATTAATGCCTTCCTCGCTGCTGACTACCTGCTGGGGTTCTACAATTGAAGGAGAATCTGGTTAAAAATATCTACCCACTTAAAATGCATCTATGTTTAGATACGGGAAGCAGGTGTACATACTGCTGACAAGCTGGCCCACTTTTGCTATGTCTCCACAGGTGATGGGTACTGTGGAGGAGAGCGTGGTGGTGGTCTTCAGTACAGACGGCTGTGGGGCGATGACAACTGGTGACTGAGTGGCAGTTGTTACCAAAGGCTGCGAGGGAACAAATAAATAATATTCTTAGATGGGACATGCAACGTAATGGTAAGATTTACTCATACTGATGATCAGCCAATTAACTGTGCTGAAATTATTTAGTCCTTTCTGACCTAAAAACTAAATTCAGACAGATGTTTATTATCTACCTGAGTGCTAGGTTTTGAAAGTGTTGGAGGAGCAGCAGCTTTGGGCAGAACTGCAGCAGAGGTTGCAACCGCTGCAGGTCCATTCCCTACTGTGGCAATGATCTGGCCCTGGGTGTTGAGAAGCAGCTGTGGGGTGACAGTCTGGACCTGGAGACCCTGACCCAGAGAGGCTGGGTTCACAAACAGCGGGAGGGTTCCTATTACCTGTGAATTTAGTTTGAGTTTAAGAGAAATACAAAAAACAATTGAATGTAACACTCTGTGGTAGTTTTTGCTTACCAAACCCAGTTACAGCACATTCATCAATGTGTCATGTGTCATAGCAGTGTTTTTGCTTCTGGGAAATAAGTACGTTCTACTAGCTGTTTACTTGGAATAAAATCATGTCTTTCCAGATCAAACATTGCAATACTAACTCCAGATTGAGTAATGGATCTGTTTGAGAGGACAAATCAGCTTTCACAGAAATAGTCTTATGATCTACTGACCTGAAATAGCACAGCTGATTGATTGGTTATCTGGAGGGTGTTGCTTTTATTACCAATCCAGAAACACAACACAAAAGCATTTTGACTGTCCTTACAGAGGGTGTGATTACCAGTCAATATAAATCTAAACTCGCAAAAAGTGTAAAATGCACTGTGTAATGGGAGCTCACTGTCTGTAAATGATTTGTTCTTACTCTGTTTTTACTTTGTTATGAAAGTCTGTGCATTCTAATCAATCAACGCCTAGAGGGTGTTTTTTGGCTAATGATACAGTACTACAAGGCAACGATTTTTTCTGACAGAGCCTCATATTTAAGGTCTTTCATTCAGCTGGAAGTACAAAGTAGAGAGAGTGAGGGCAGTTGGGGGGAGGTGATTAACGGAGATTAGTCAAATCTATATAATATAATATTAATATAATATAAAGCTAGAGTAGCAGTTTAAGGTACCCACCTGTCCTTGGGCATTTGTGATGATCTGGCTGGTGATGCCAGCCATGTTGGACATGGCACTGGTGATGATGGGAGTGGAGGTGAGGGAACTGAGAAACTGGGGCTGACCCAAGGAAGCAGCATTGATCTGAACAGAAAAACACAACTAATTAAAATAGCATAGGAAACTAAATCCTGTGAATGACATGATTTAAAATGACACAGACAGTATGAACAGGCATAAATCCTTTAAGCAGCATTCTTACAATAGCAGGATTGATAGAGAGTCCTGCAGTCTGGAGTGCTGCTAAAGATATGTTGGACTGAGAGACAGTAGTTGTGGCCGAGGTCGCCTGGGCCGCCATCTGAGCAGCGGTGACCTGTGCATTGGTCACCTGTGTTGGCTGAGACGTCACCTGCACTGGCTGTATGGAAGCTTGAGGCTGGAACATCGCCTGTGCATTTGTGTGCAATTGGGGCTGGACCGAGTTCAGGACAGTCGCAGCTGAATGAAAGTACAGTATCAACCTGTTATTGTTCTGTAATCAAGTTACTCATTGTGAGAAAATATTGTCACAGAGCCACGCTAACATGTACTTAGGCATATGGTTTGTGGAGCTAAATGAACAACGCTAACATGCTCATAAAGATGGCAATTTTGAAGTCAGGTCTCAACTATGATCAACCTAAAATAAAGTTAGACAAAATCTGTTTATGAGAAGCTAAATTGGGAGCACACATAAACAGATTGTGTTTTACCTTGGAGGCCAGTGAAGGGCAGTTTGAGGAGGTTTCCGGCTGTGGTAGCTGCTGCAAACCCAGGTAGAGTAGTTACATTGGTGGTAGGCAAGGTGAGAACAGCCAGACCACCCTGGCCACCAATGGAGCCCGCCATACTGAGGGGGATGAGCAAGGGCTGCCCCAGAGATCCTGTCTGTGCCATCATACCAGTCATTAGAGTGGCCAAACTTTCCTGGGTCAGCACCTAATGTAGCATAATAAAAGCTTTCCATCAACATTTGTGACTGGGATGAACACAGTAATGTTTTTCTAGATAACATGCTTACTGACATCCTGGTGTTTCTACAGGGGAAAGCTTACTGAACTAATTATGAATACACTTTTTACTGTCTGTGCACTCAACTACTCAATTTGAATTTCAATTTGTTTTTGTCTTTTACTTCAGTGGGTGTTTTATTTTTTGTGGCAGTTGTCTGAATTCTCAATTGCTGTAAATGCTGTACGAACAATTTCAACAACCTCATGCTCTGTATTCAGGTGTTTGGGATCCAATTTGTTCAATTTTTACCATTCACAAAGCACCAGAGCCTCTGTCAGTGACTTCAGAAAATCACCTACAGTTGTCTGTGGGTGACAGACTACTGTAGGTGATTTAATCCCTCTGATAAATAAATATTGGACAAATGTGAACCAGGTGAAATGCAAATAGGGTCCTTGTAAATTTCCCCTTGTTTGAAATTTCACACTTTCAGCACTTTCAAGCCCAATGCAGCTTAAACTTGTTAATGTCTGTCCCTGGTTTTAGCTAAAGAAAAACTCCAACAACCTACAACTTTCCTTCTCTGATAACATAGGATGTATTTGGAAAGTGTGTAAATTCTACCTGTGGACAGCCTTGTACAGTGATGGGCATGGTGGCTTGGGGCTGTGGCAGGGACACACTGACGGGAACAGCAGGAGTCAACGTTTGAACAGCAGGGGCTGCAGCCTCTACAGACACCACCTGCTGCTCACCCAGCACTGCAAGAGCACAGACAGGGTTAGTTCTGACTGACATTTGAAGTAGTTTTCACAGCTGCTATTAACATTTCAGTGCTACAGTGTCATGTACGTATGAATAATAAGTCATCTGCTATCCATCATCATCTAGTATGACCATGATTTACCTGCTCCCCCGGTGCTCCGGGGCACAACGAGGCCTTCCTGCACGCTGCCGAGCTCAGGTTGCTCTGCAGGCCGAGCCACTCCCTCCTCAGCTTTGCCTTCATTCTTCCCATCAGTTACTGATGACGGCAGAGACGCATCGACCTCTACCTCTAGCACACGAATAGTCTCATGGCCAGACATCACAATGACCTGCACAGCAATTAGGGAGTAAAACCTAAGATGATTCAAATGCAACAAAAAAATTCCTACACTATTCTACTTCTTTTGCTCAGGATTCTATTATAATAAATAAAAATTAAAAAATAAATATTTCTGTTATGGTTAAAGTATCACTTGATACGTGAAGGGTCACAAATATAGACAACAGCTAAATTTAGTATTTCCCCACTTTATGAATTCCCCCTTTCATTAGATCTAATTTCGACTTAACTGATGATTCATGGTATGCAATAATGAAAGGCCTAGAGGAGACGCAGCGAGACAACCTGGGCTGGAGGACAAGGTGCAGAGAGACAATGCAGGAAGAGAGAGGAGGATGCATACCTGGTTGTCTTTGGCAGGGAATTTCAAAGTGCAGGATTTAAATGGCTGAAAAAAGACTTCTGCAGTCAGACAGTGAATGGCTAAGGAGAACAGAGAAGCCGAGCACATGTTAGGACACAATGACCCAAAACAAGACAACACCAAAAAGGAAGAGACACAAACGAAAAGAGCATGAGTACACCAAAACAATGACAAAGGCATCAGCCAAACAAGCAGCTCAAGCAATGCTTCCTTCAAGCTCCCCCCTCCGTACATCTGTGAAGAGCATTGCTTTTTGTTTGCTGACTATGTCTACACAGAATGTTACTAGAGAGAGATAAAAAAAAACACAATTAATTATTAAACACGGCAGTTTAAAGAACGGCAACCGTCCCCAAGCATAAAGCAGCAGGTATTATTAGGTGATAAAACACAAAACGTGGGTCCTGATTCTCTAACGAACTCGTATGGAAGTTAATCATTCCAACATGGTATGGTATGTAGGCACATGGAGAGCGGCGGGGAGCAAACGGGAGCAAAGAACTTGAAGACAACATAAGTTATCAGGGTTTGGTTAAGCTAAGTGAGGGGTTACAGTGGAAAGTGCAGGTCTGTTCGCTGTGCTTTAAACAGTGTGTTACCTGCTCATTGACAGTAAGTGGGGCATCTTTGGCAGGGAGATCCTGGGAGTTCATGGCTCGCTGCACCACCACCGTCACTGTCTTCCTGGCATTCTGGGTAAACAAACACTGATTAAACAAACCCTGAAAGATTTGTCTTCTTGATTTAGTGTCTTGACTACTTAACCCACTCCTAATCTGTTTTGCAGTCATTTTCAAGTATAAAAGTTTCCATGATGGTGACCACTGTTAAGGCACAGCTGCACTTTAAGGGGGAGGGGGTGTTAAATGCTGGTTTAAAACAGACCCACATGCAGAGGACTGTTTTGTTATTCATGGCTAATTCTGTCATTGCAGGACCAGACTATTTGGAGGGGCCTATAAACAGGCGATACTGTGTTGCACTTAAGCTGCAGAAAACGTGATGAAACACGCTGATCGTGGACATGAAGTGGTTACAAATGCAACACAGATCAAAAAAAGATTCAAGATGGTGCATTTCCTACTGCAATGCCCCGTTAGAAATGAGGATCTGTCAAAAACTTCAGCGGGTGTTGATGGGCTCCCCACCCCCATCCTGGCCAATAAAAGTCTCGCCGCGTCGGCCACTTTTGGAGACAGGCACCAACCACCAAGTACAGGCGACAGAAATCATCTCGACCCGTGCTTAGAGACCGAATATTATGTATTTCCCTCTCTTTATCATAAATATATAAATTATGCTAATTACGAACATTGCATATTAACCAAAACTCATTTCCTCTCGCCATTTCGCTGCTATGCGCGAAGAGCAGGCTAGAACAGACTCCGGTTATTATATTCAACTTACCGCGTAAATGCAGCTTATTTTCTGTAATCCCTCGCTCTTATAAAGGTCCTTGTCACAGTTTGTTTCAGTCACACATAATTAAAAATTCATCTCAGCTCCCAGACAGGCGCTGTGACTGCACACAAAAGAGGTATTTGCATTGATAAGGAGGGTTGCAATGTTAGGATCTCCTTCTCTCTTAATATTTAATGACGATGCCCTTTCTGCAACAGTTCAGACAATCAAAAATCCCTGGCGTGTCTCACAAAATCCTATTTGAGCTACAAAGTCGGACAAAATTGCCACAAAATTGGCCTTTTGCACTACGTCATGAACATAATTTATGCAAGAAAAAATCTTGCATTGAAAAATGTCTGCCTCGACTTGAGAGGTGCCATGGTTCTCTTAAAGGGGAAGTGCCTCCATAAATAAAAGCTCTGGAGGACGCAGCACTGACTACAGTCTATGGCACCGACACAGTGAAATATAAAATAAATATAATAACACTATTTGCTTGTTTCGCTCACTTATAGTTAGTGTTTTTAATGACAAACCAGAATCAGAAATACTTTATTTGAGTGTTCCTTACAGTTGTTACTCACTACTCACACAACGTTAAAGAAATAGTACTTATATACAATATCTAAAACAATATATAGAATATTAATGAATGTATAGGGATATACATATATTAGTAGTAGTAGGGTATCCTGTTTCCTGATATATTTTGTTTTATTTATTGAAAGCTGAATAAAATAGCTCCATTCAAGCACACCTCTGGGTGGGACTTCCTTCTGTCTGACTAACAATTTGACTATGACTGTGAGTAGTGACACATCTGCTGTGTTGTGTGTGTGTTTGTTAAGCTGGTTAAGTGGAAATGAGTGTATTTCTGACAGGATGGAAACATTTTATCGACCCAGCCCTTCAACAAAACAACAGGAGATTGTGGTCTGATTTGCACACATATGGTTTTAATCTCCTAGTTTTCTTCAGAAATATTTGTAAGCTTAAAAGTATGTTCTTAATTTCTTTTTAATGTACAAATCTGAATCCCCAACATTAATAAATGGAAATGGCACCTACAGCATATAAGTATCTGTAAATACCAACTGTGTATACAATTCACAATACATTAACATGTATACAAACATATAGTGCATATCTCAACATAAAGAATAATGGTTAACTGTTGAGTTTAGTGATGGAGATAAATTACAGGCAAAGTTATACAAGGTTTTCTGGGCCCCTTAACCCCACAGGATCATGTACTGTCACCACCTTTAACACCTTTTTTTAGGCCTAGACATTTTAACTTGTAGTAGTAAAACTACTAGTAGTAGTAATACCTGTGTCTTTTATACTCACTGTAGAAAAAGTTGAGGTATTACTAAAAACATCAATGGTGGCTTTGTTACAGCATGTACAATACCAGAAGCCTGAAACTGAAGCATCTAAATGGACTTAAGCCATTATTTAGTTCATCATTATGTGCTTTTGCTACTGTGGCATTCCTATTAAAGTGTTATGCTGTTATTGTTGTATTCTTAAAATTGAATTGTACATGTTCTTTATGTTTAAAGCATTAAAAACTGCACGTATGACTGCAGTGCTAAAAAGATAATAATTGACCATCCACTGGGACACTTGAATAAAACAGAGCCATCAATAATGTTACTATTAATATCTGTCCTTTTCCTATTACAACAAGTCAAAATGTCTAAAGTGAAAAAGGCCTACTGTGTTATATTTATGGTGAGCAACACAGATAGTTCACTACAAGTCAGAGAGAGACAGAGACTGCCCATTAATATCAGTATTAACGTTCTTGTATGGTATTTGCTATAATGCAATGTAGGAGTATATCCTACACTTGCACTAACCATGTCCCATATTGTTTTACATATGAACTGTGTGGTTCTAGTTCTTAGTTTTAGTTCAGTTTCTGATTAATTAGTTATTTGTGTTTCACATTCACATGTCACTTCATGTCATGTCACTTTGCTGCCACAGGGACAGATACAGAAAATCTTTCCCCACCGCTGTCTAAAAGAGAACTCTGCTTTATAGTTTCTTTCTCATACCTCCCCCTCCGTCCTGCCCCTTCAGTAATTTGCACATATTCATACTCCGTCTCTCTCTCACTGTTGTAAACGTCCATCTTCTTTGTCTTGTGTATAGTATTTTATCCTATTTTTATATTTCTCTTTTATTGTATTGTATATTGTATTTTAAGATATATTGTAGATATTTATAGTTATTTGTTATGGTTATTTTCTATCTATCTATCTATCTACATAATGTACATGTACACAAAGTGTGAAATTAACGTAAAACATGTATTTCAACATCCTTTACACTCTGCACTATTGCACTATTGTCTACAAATGTTATTGTTTGTTTATATATATATGTAAAACTATACATAGTTGTTTAAATCTATTTTGTTGAGCTTGTTTTCCTGTTTATATATGATGCATAGTCTGTGTTTGTACATTGAGAGTCAAATCCCTCATTTGTGTGCACATACCTGGCCAGTAAAATTTATATTTTCACTTACTTAGTTAGAACTGTGGCCTATTTATTTATTAAAAGGAATATCTTATCTTATCTATCTATTGCTGTGAAATTTAATGTTTACTTTTAGTATTAGAAATGTCTTGTCTTATCTGTTGTGCCTGTGCACTTTATCTGTTTCACAGTGGGAGAGTGAGAAACATACTCTCGATTCCTTTGTGTCTGGTTGCATGGTGAAGTAATTGACAATAAAGCTTGACTTGACTTTTGGTTATCTATCTATCTATCTATCTATCTATTATTCTATCTATCTTATCTATCTATCTATTATCAAGAATCAGAATTTTGTTTATTGCCAAGTAGGATTTTACGCGGTACGAGGAATGTGACCTGCGTGCAGCTGTGCATAATATAACATATACATATACAATATACATTATTCAGAAGTGCACACAAAACCACACATGGGAAAAAAGTACTCTACTCTACTTACTCTACTCTCTTCTCTATCTTCTATCGTATCTATATCTATCTATCTATCTATCATTGCTCTATCTAGCTATTTCACCCTGTATTCTTCCAGTGAACACATCTTTTTATTCTATGTCTAACTCTTTACACATACACATCTAATCGTTGTCTTGCCCCCCTTTATTTTTTCTTCTACAACTACAAACACTTTCACCTTCACTCCCTCTTGAACGCACCTCGCGCTCGCCTGTAGGCGGCGCGCGCACCAGTGCGTCGGAGCCGCCGCACGGCAGAAGAACGACCGACGTCACCACTTCCACAACAACAAGAAAGCTGAAAAACAAGGAAGTGAATGATTGTGAAGCCCGTAACCTGTTATAAGGCCCGTGGACAAGATACGCAGAGCTCCGTGTTTAAAACCTGAAAATCCCTCAAGTCTCCGGATCAGCCCAGAACAATGAACAACAAAGGTATTTCTTTTGTTGTTTTTTCCTCCGCTAGGCACCGTTAATAAGTCCTCCACACGACGCGGAGGTTATAAGAAGAGATGAGGAGCTGTCGTTATGGCCATCCGGAGCGGACTTCACGTTTTAGCTACGTACATGACAATAAACCGAGAATTTTTTCCTAACAGATAACACTAAAGCACACAGGTTTGAGCTCGGCCTCTTGTGGTTTATTTGCTTTTTCACGAACACATCTGTTAATAATGAACGCCCGACGTTTTGCTTGTCACCTTTTTTTTTTTTTTTTTACTGGCCAGGTCACATTATTTTCAGATAGCTAGCTTCACTCACACACACAGGCAAGGGGTTTTAAAGGCGAAGCTGACATGATTTTACTGCTTTGGTTTACATGCAGAGGCATCTGAATGGTGTATTTCTACCGTTGCGGTGCTTTTGTGCACAAAGTGTGGCTTGTTTTATCCTTTTACTGTCATATGCACCTTTATTTGGACATACTCAGATCTTTTGTTGTAGCCATGCAGTTTAGATGTGGTGCTGCAGCTAACGATTTTTTTTTTTCTGCTTCTTTATCGGATTGAAATTTACCGATTATTTTCTCGAATAACTACATCCACGTGTTGGATGCTTTTACATTCTTGTTTTGTGCATCAAGAAAACACGAAAAATCCAGTGATTTACAATTTTTGCTTGAAAAAAAAATGCTCACATTAATTTCAAAATTCTGTTTTCTGTGGATTGACTAATCAAATAATTGACTAATAGTTTAATTATCTTGTATGTTTTGCTTGATTAGGTTTTTTTTTATGTTTTGTCAGTTTTTAAACCTAGAACCTGAAAAAAAAAAACAATTTCAACTGTATTTTTTTATTTATTTGGAATAAACAGCTTAAACTTGTGTAATTTTTTTTCATGTCATTTAGGATTTATTGAAAGAAAAGAAAATTTCTCAGGGCTGTTTTTTATATATTTTTTACTTGCTCTCCATCATGGGGCAGTGGAAGTGACACTACATTTCACCCCACAAGCAATGCTATTTGGATATAAAAATAGTTTCTATTACTGCCGAAAATGTGGTATTCTTTGCTCCATCCAGGCCGTTAACGGCACATATTTGTCTTGCCCTGTGCCACATACTTTGCTGATGTTTCGCAGAAGCCTCTAAAGTCCCCAGACTTTGTTTACTGCTGAAATATTTCAACACTTTGCCATGAACGCACTGTTACTCACTCAAGCTGGAATTTCTGTGTCGGTCACTTTTTAAGATTAAACGATGGTCATTTGCTGAAAGTAAAATGTTGTTTTGCAGGTTCATATCCACAGCAGGCTGTGTACCCTCAGCAGAGCACTGCACCTGTATACCCTCCTGCTATGCAAATGTCTCCTCAGGCACCTCCTTACACAGACACACCACCTGCATATTCTGAGGTAACTATTACATGTACATGACATATACGAATATAAACATATATAAACAGTTGTAAACCGTTTTAAACCTGTCTTTTTTTTGTCGTCTCTGTGTCTGCAGATATACCAGCCCAGATATGTGCTTCCACCTCAGGTGCCTGGTCAGTTGCCTCAGATGTCCTCTCCCTACCCTGGTGCTCAGGTGTTCATGCCCATGCAGCCACATATGTCTGTTGGGCCAGTGGGCCAGAATGTCCCCATGGCTTACTATCCCATGGGAGCCATGTACCCCCCTGGTTCAACAGTGATGGTGGAAGGTGGCTTTGATGCTGGTGCTCGCTTCACAGCAGGCAGCAGTGTTTCCATCCCAGTGAGTTCAATTAATTATTGCAGTTAGGATGTTGTTGAGTGTGATCTCATGTCTGGATGCTGGAATATATAAACTCCAAAGCTGATCACCTCAATGCAAATTCCTTTGCTTGTTTCTCCCCTAGCCCCCACCTCCTGGACATCCCCCCAATGCAGCTCAGCTGGCTGCCATGCAGAATGCCAATGTTGTAATGACACAGCGCAAGAATAACTTCTTCCTTGGTGGATCCAGTGGAGGTTATACCATCTGGTAACAGCAAGTCCTCGACTCCTCCTCCATGCCTAAACCGTGTCCCCGTCCCAAATGATGACCCAGTTCTTCCCCCATCCCATACGCCTCCCTCTTCAGGCTGCTTGGCCATGCCACAATACTGATATCACCTAACGGAATGTAATATTTTAGAGCCCTCGTGAAAGGTACAGTACTCCACTTCTGACCTAGAGATCAAATGATGAATGCCACTGCCTGGAGAGGACAAATGCAAAATTTTTAAAGTCGCAGAATTCATTCCATAATTCGTCACAAACCTCTTTGGTCATTCCAGATTGGACCTCTTTCAGGCATCTGTATTTGTTCAAGAGACCTTGTCTCCTTTGATCGAATAGATCACAAATTACATTGAGATGTTCTTGTATACCTGTAAAGCTACATAAATGAAATGTTGAAATATCAGACCCGCATTATATAGTTTAGCTGCTTTATGGTGAAAGTGAAATGCAGTTACAAAGTTGCAGTGAAAGCGCAAAAAAAAAGAAATCTCCACTTGTCTTTTTGAAAACTTTTAGTGTAGTTAAATTAATAGATGTGTAATAGTTCCATGTAAATATCAGTATGACGATCATAAGAATTTACATCTCGACTATTTAAAAAAAAGAAAAAAAAAAGTGAGCATCCTGGATGCTTTTAGCTAGAATTGTCTTGTCCTTTGCACAGTATCCAAAATAACACGGCGAATTTGTTGCACAGTGAACTGTCTCATCTGACAGGTTCCTTCATTAAAATCACTTGTAAATTAAATAAATTTAAGCTAAAGCAAATAATTCAAGAAAAGATTTCATGCAATATCCAAAGTGGTTTACTGTACCTTGTTGGGCAACTTGTAGATGAACATAGTCAAGTGCCAAAGAGCACTGGGGATAGCCCTAATTTAAAGCAAATTAACTTCAGTAAACTTAAAGGAAAGAAATTTAAAGTAAATCCAAATAGTAAGTTGAATGGGAAGGGGTGGTTGGTGTAACATTTTAGCTTTTTTTGTGTCTTGTTTCTATTTCACAGTCGGATACCCAGACTTTATACACTAAATGTTTTATTGTGCAGATTTCAAGAACTACCCTCCATTGTTTCTCTTTGTCATTTCACACAGTATAATTTGTTAAACATATTTATTCACTGTAGAAGAAAAATGTTAGTTTCTAGTTAAACTTTTCAAAGGTTGAGGAGACTAAATATTTCAGTGTTTCTTTTATTTCTTTCATTTTTCACATCTTAAGCGTGCTACATGAGTAGTTAGACTATTACATTCGTTAGTATAACCAATGAGCTGGTTGTACCAAAGATTTGGTCTACAATGCACTTATGTTTGGTTGTGACTTGAAATTTAAAACGTCACAATTTAAAAGCAAACATATCATTGAATACGCAGTTATGAGATTGTTGGTACCTAGATCTTCAGTCGGACATGTTAGATAATGTGTTCATGTCACTTTATGTGGGTTAATTGCATTTTTTTTAAGTCGTTGCATACTTTTGCACCTTTGCTATGTACAAATTTGATTAAATACTTTTTATCTGAGATGCACTGCTAAGCAAATCTGAGTGGTTGCAAACAAGGGGCTACTATTTTCTTTTTTTCCTTTTTTTTTTCATGAGTTTTTAAAGAAAGCTGTGAGATTTTTCAACATTTCTTTTTTAAGATTTTAAAATTCATCAAGTTTTAGTCCATTTGAAAGTAACGTCAAGATGTGTCGTGTTGTTCAGTAGCCTTAAAGTGTATGCAAAACATTTGCAATGAGGCTATATCACTGTCAGCATAATAGTTCATTTAAAAAGACATTTTTGTGCTGGTAATTACACTTCTTTAGAATCTTTACATAATACGTTATGTTGTGAACTTTAGGTATCTAAAAAGTAGGTAAGTCAGTATAGATACCATAAACGTATATTTGTAGATATTCTTCATTTTGGTGTGTGGTAGCGTCAATGTGTCACTGGGTATCCGACATACTGTATCAAGTTTTAACAGCTGTGGCCACCAGAAAACAAATGCTGTTTGCTGTCAACCAACATCGAGTGATTTCAGTGTTATTTATGTGAGAAAGACCGGCTGTCTGGAAAACGTGCTTCATTCATCCGATGAACCTCCTCTCAGCAGCTCATACACACACACACACACACACACAGCTACTACAACGGACGTGACTAACAATGTCACTCGTGTTTTTAAAATCTCACTCATCCCGCCGCTTCATACAGCTTTGCTGGGGAAGAGGCCACAGCTATCAAAGCTTTTAAAATATTATTCAAACAAATGTGTATTTTTTTTTTTCTCTCTCTCTCCATCTCTGCTCTGATTGTTTGTAAAGCAGCATAATGGTGGCTTTGTCCCAGCAATATGAAGTACTGTAAACTACAGCTGACCAGTAGATGCTATGCCAACCACAGCCAGCAAATGGATTACCCCCTTTGTTGAAGGATTATGGACATTTATAGTTCAGGGATTCTCTTTACAATATTTTGTAAAAATAGATGTATGTACTAAAGTGATGTGATAGACTTTGGTACACATTCTATCTTTTAAGATTACTAAAGGAGATGAGTGTCAAAGATGGAATACTTTGAAAAAAGAACTTAGGTGCACTTAACTTTTTTATACTAAACTTAAAATTTAAAATGTAAGTTTAGAATAAAGGTTATTTTGGAAATTTGAAATGTTGCATGTTTGTTTTAATTTTATCCATATATACAATGTATTAGAACAGGGCAGGTATTTATTTCATGATTTTGATCCAAGATAACATCTGAGATTTTGGTTACTGTTATGTTGTGATTATAGTTTAAATGTTGTCTTTCCCCTGGCCAGACTGCATCACAGGTAAATGATCGTTTTATCAACTTGTTTGAGTGGATGCTCCTACTTGCTTGACCTTCATACCAATATCACCAAGATTTTTTTTGTCAAATCCTCATCATCCACCTTAATTTAGTATACGTACTGTATGAAAGAACCAATAGTCACAACCCAACTATTGTCACTTTGATATAAACAGTATTGAGTCAAATATGGATGTGTATTTTTGTCAAAACCACCCAGCACAACATGGAGTTGCCAGTTTATCACATCCATAGCATTTTGATCCAACAGCCCACGATAAATCACAACTTAATGAAGCTTGTCAAATTCAGTTTTTTGCTGACATTGTGACAGGAAGGTTTTGACTCACAGCCGTGAGATCATTTGAATCCTTGCTTTTGTTGGCTTATATTCATTTACTGAAAAGGTGTCAATTTTCAAACACGGCGTCAACAAAAACTGAACATACTCTTTGATTGTGGGATTTAGTGCTGGACTGTTGGCTTAAACTATACTGATGGATGTATCTAAATGTATCTTAACAAACTCAGTGTAATGTGCAGTATGTTCTCTAAAACATTTGTGCACCCATCTCCGATTCCAACAAATCCGATTGTGGGCAGCAAAACTGATGATCATGACATTGCCTATTATAGAATACATTAAACATCACTAATCTGCCAGGCTGTATAACGACACTAGTTCAAAAACAACCTTTTATTGTCTTCCACATTTATCTCAAACAGGGAAGTCATCAGTAACCAAAGTCTGGCGAGGAATAATACAAAACAAAACCAGGTGCAATGAAAATCAAATACAAAAAGCTGTTTTTGACTAGCTTATAAAAGAATTGCATAGAAAACTATCGCCTTAAAAGCAAATCAATATAAAAGTAATTGCCCCCGGTAGCCCCAGAACATGTCTTGTACTGGGTTTGTTGGGGGGGGTGGGGGGATGAATACAGTATGTCTGAATCAAAACAACATAATAGAAATGCTAAAGAATAAAAAACGGAAACATAGTGTAGCAGACGAGATAATCTTACATTTTGATTGTAACTGATCGTGTAGCTGTGACATTTGAAAATCCCACCACCTGTTTCACGCCTAGCTCTGCTAATCTCAACACACCTGTTGTCTGCTTCACCTGCTCTCCATCCATCAATCCACACTCACTACAACAACTTTATCTTTGGTATTACTCGTGCTCCTCTCTGTTTATCATTATCATTTTAAATAAACAAGCTTTTTTTTCTTCCCCCC